GTGTGTTTATAACAATACTTCAATACTTCCTTTTTTAAAACTATTTCCTTAGTGTTAGTATCCTCGATATAGTGCCGATATCGAATCATGGTTGTTCCAAGAATTCTGGTTTCCATCCTTAATATGCTGTATTTAACAACTGTTACTTAAAACTTTATAAATCTTTCCCTGAAGTGTTGATATCGTCGATATCGACGATATCGCTTCGACATCGAATCATGTTTGCTCAACCCTTAGTAAATACCTTCCATGTTACTTTGAATGTGTTAATGTTTAATTACTTTCCTTTTACGGAGATTTTACCTGCCATCGATATCGTCGATATCGACGATATCGTATCGATATCGAATCAGGATTGTTCAAAGCATATTAGTTTGCCAATCTTCACCCTTATATAAAAAATATTGTTACATCACTTTTGTGATTAATGAGTTTACCTTACTGGCGATATCGACGATATCGTATCGATATCGAATCATGATTATTAAAACATTTTTAAGAATATTCACCCTAACCTAACATCGTACTTTGAATCAAATCTAAAACAAAAACAACCCGAAAATTTTCTTAATCATAATTTATTTTCATAGTCATGCCAATAATGAATCAATTTTGATTTCACTTGTGACTTTGTAAAATTATTTTATACCTTTATGTTAAAATAGATTATGCAAATAGGGTCGATATTGATACGATATCGTCATGATATTGTCGATATCGACGACATCGACGTTATATATAGTCTCAAATATGGCACCAGCTGAACTGCCTCCCTATCTATGAATTTAACAAGAAAACCGCTAATATTTAGGAAAATAGCGTATAAAACTTTTTATGTTCTTGAAAATTTTGCACTTCTTAGGCCTTTGTAATTTTGTCAAGTACATATTATTCTAAATTTGTTTTGAGGGTTTAAATCAAAATGGTTTCAAGTTTAATGATCTGTTTGAATTTCAGAAAAACGTAGATAAGAACAATTTTTGATTTTTTAAACATACAGTACCGACCAGACCCAACCTGACACCAAAGCAGTCCCAGAAAGCAGTCCCCGGGACTGCTGTGGGACCGCTCTGGGACTGCTGTGGGATTGCTCTGGAACCGCTATGGGACTGCTCTGGGACTGCTATGAAAAGCAGTCCCAGCAGTCCCAGCTGCCCTGGGACTGCTTTCTGGGACTGCTTTCTTCACTCATGTGTGAAAAAGGTTCTGAGTGACATGATAGCTCTGCCCCTTTGTGTATTCTGAATTTGCAGGCTCCCTGTTGTTTTGTTTAGTTGCAGCAGAGAGGAGTTTAAACTGTTTAATAAGCGCGGGTATCTTACATTTGTTTAATATTAAGTAGAGATTATTATAGTTAATTCATATTTTCATGGACTGTATACTACACAAAGTAATGTGCAGTTTAGAATAAATTTAAAAAAAAAATAAAGTTGAGAAATAAGGAATTCATGAGAAAAATTTTATCCCTACAAATAAACTACAAGTTTATGAGAAAAAAAATAACTACGTGTGGGCCTTTTTTAATTATTTAATGTAAAATTATGTACTGAAATTTTGCATTGGTACTATTTAAATATATTCATGATTACAGTAAGATATAAGATTTTTTATTAAAAATGCTACACGTTTTATAAGGGCCACACTAAAAAAGAGAATTTCATGTAACCCTAAAATAAAACCCAACAATTTATTAAATGACCATGAAATAAAATTAAACTAACACTCTCGGTCCGTAACATAAACAATTTGAATTGGAATTAATTTATGAATTACAATTACAAACTGCCAATTTTAATGCTCTTACAAATTTGCAAAATCCTAATGATATATTAGAAAACTTCTACAGCATGTTTAATACCATTCTCAATAAACATATGCTACGGTAAAAACTAAACGTGTAAAAAGTGAGTCTCGTCCGAAATGGTTCACACCAGAAATTAATGAAGCTAGACAATTACATTACGAGATTACTATCATCAACATAAAGACTTTGATGATTTTCGTCATTGGAGAAATAAAGTTACTCTGTTGATTAATAATGCAAAATGTATGTACTACAAATCAGCAATTGAGGAGAGCTCTAATCCTAGAGAAATGTGGAGCTATCTTAATCATTTAGCTTCCAAGTCAAAAAATATTTCTCCCACTCTTATTAAAGACAATGAATCAGAAATTGATGATTTACAACTAATCGTAAATGTTTTTAATGAGCATTTCACAAGAATTTCTGACAATTTATTAACTAAAACACAAAATCATAGCTTTAATTCTCAAAAATTAAAAGAATTCACGAAGTCCAAACTCAATGATGAAAACGTGTTTAGCTTACTTCCTATAAGCCAGGACGATGTCTTAACTATGCTACACTCACTTGACATTGATAAATCAGCAGGTGTAGATTTCATTGGTCCCCGTCTCTTAAAACTTTCTGCAAATGTAATTTCTAAACCCATAACTCATCTCATTAATACTAGCATTACTAATGGCATCTTCCCTTCCCAGCTGAAACATGCTAAAGTCACCCCCATATATAAGAAAGGCGATAAAAGTGATCCCAGTAATTACCGTCCAATATCTATCCTACCAACTTTGTCAAAAATTTTTGAAAAGCATATTGCTAATCAAGTACGTGAATTTACGAGAACTTTTGATATCATTATGAGCTCACAGTCTGGTTTTAGGAAATTCCACTCTTGCCAAACAGCACTAACCAAACTTACCGACAACTGGTTGCATGAAATGGACCAAGGAAATTTAATTGGCATAGCTTTTCTAGATTTTCGTAAGGCGTTTGATTTAGTCAGTCATGATATTTTAATAGAGAAATTACGTCATTATAATTTTGATTCACTAACAATCAAGTGGTTCCAATCATATTTAAACGAAAGGAAGCAAAGTGTAAAAATTGGCGCATGTTCTTCCGATATTTTACCTATCACAGCAGGGGTGCCACAGGGATCCATTTTAGGCCCACTCCTATTTTTATTGTATATAAATGATCTTCCTTTATGTGTAAATTACTCTAATATTGATATGTTTGCGGACGATGCATCTCTGCATTTACCTAACAGCAATGTACATAATATTGAAACACATTTAAATTCTGATTTACGTGAAATTGAAAACTGGTGTTTACAGAATCAAATGATACTGAACACAGACAAATCAAAATGCATGCTTATGTGTACACAACAAAAAAGATCAAGATTAAATTACCCAGTACTTGATGCAAAAATTTCTGGCAAAAACTTGGAAAATGTTGAAGTTGAAAAACTCCTAGGTATTCAGATAGATCAATCTCTTCAGTATAATTGTCATGTTGATGCAGTTTGTAAATCCCTGAGATACAAATTATTTACGCTCCGTAAAATTAAGAAGTTTCTTCCATTAAGTACAAGAAAACTTTTCTATAATGCATACATCTTGCCTACAATAAACTATTGTCTCACAGTCTGGGGTAATACGTCCAAATGTAACATTGAGAGAATTCATAAGCTTCAGAAACGGGCTGCTAGAATTATTCTTGATGCAGCACCTGACCAACCATCTAAGCCTTTGTTTGAAAAACTAGGATGGTTAAATGTTTTTGAGTTAGTTACCTTTCATAAATGTATTTTATTATACAAAACTTTTTATGGTATGAGCCCAGAATATATCCAGAATCTTTTTATTTTTCACAGTTCTGAATCATACTCATTGCGTTCAGAATTTAATTATAATCTTTGATTACCAGAGCATCGAACAATCTTATTTACAAACTCTTTACAATATTCTGGTGTACATTTATGGAATAGTCTACCGTTACATGTTAAATTATTGCCATCTTTACCTGTTTTTAGAAAGAATTTGGAAAAAGTTATAATTAGCCAACGTCTGTAATTTTATTATAATAGATGTCCTTTTTATTGATATTACCTATGTCTTTTAAACTTTGTATATCGACTTATTTATTGTCTTATATTTTCATTAATTTGTATACTACATTCGGTTATGAAGTTATAGAATGAGCTTATCATTTTCATGTACATTGTATATATGTTTGATTGTACCATTTTATGTATATTGTTTGAAATGTAGAAGGCCCCGGGGAAGAATAGTACTTTGTACTAATCGGGTTACCTTCTTTTAATAAAGCATTATTATTATTATTATTATTACATTAAACAAGTTATTAAGAGTATATTTATTTAAAAAAACATTTGAAAATACCGGGAATTGTTATTTATTTCTTTTTTGTTTTGCTAGTGTATACCTGGCTGATTAATGTTTATAAGATGGTATCAACAACCATTGTTTCAATCGCCTTTGGGCAAAAAAATCGAGGCATGTTATTTGGTTATTTGTATCAGTGTTACACATCATTGAACATGCTGGTAAACAATGACCCTAATTTCAGTTTATTTAATGCGGAAAAATGTGATAAATGAAATGTGTATAAATTTCGTTCGGGATTAATTAATTTTGAATATAATCTGAAGCTTCCTTTCTGGTGATTAACAGATGTACACTCTAACATTTACAAATAAAAACACTTGATCATGAGTTTTATAGAACTTTGCATTACCGATAATTAAATTGACATGTCAGTAAAAAAAACATGACTGAAAAATAATACTTGGCAAAAATAACAAAGATTTTTTTTCAAAAGCGCCAATACTTAAGAAAATTCCTTTAGAGTATCCCGATATTCTAAATTGGCCATATAAGATCTATTAAAAGCTTCTTCTAGTGGAAAATAATTAATTCATGTTTAATTTTCTGTAAAAAAAAAATTAGATATGGGAACCAGTATCAATCACAGAAGAATTATTAAGATACCCTAGAATTGTGATATTCATGTTCAGTGTAATTCATATATGTACATGTAAGTGTGAAAGCCTTCTTCCTCCAATAAATATTATAATTTCAATTTCTATACGCGTACATGTTCTGTTCATAAATGACCTTCGCGTACATGTAAGGATTCCTGGCATACTACCAAGAATCAATTTCTACTGCCTTTAATAGTTCCATTGTTTATTGGAAATATCATTTCTCAGTTAGCTCCGCCCATTAAATTAATAAATCCCGCCCACTGGGACTGCTTTCTGGGACTGCTGGGACTGCTCTCTGGGACAGCTGGGACTGCTGGGACCGCTCTGGGACTGATGTGAGACTGCTCTGGGACCGCAGTGGGACTGCTTTAGCAGTCCCAGAAAGCAGTCCCCGGGACTGCTCTGGGACTGCTTTGTGTCAGGTTGGGTCTGGTCGGTACTGTAATTGTTTAGATTTTCTACACGCTCTCGTTTTCACTCATTTTTGAAAATATAGGGTGCTCTTTGAGTATTAAACTTTTTTTCAATCAAATGTTTCTTTAAAACTGTGTGAACTACCCCCAAAATGATGTCTATTAAATTTGCTATGTAACTGAAAGTCAATAAGACATAATCACTGATAATTTTTTGCATTATCGCCAATATAAATTGGTTATTGTATGTACTTGTTGCCAAGGACGGTGCCCATTTTTGATGCCCATTATATAATTTTTGCTTATTGAAATCCACCTGTTCATGCGTGTATAAAACAGGCATAAGGTGCTGTAAATTTCACATATTTCAGTTAATAGATTTTTGGGAAAATAACAACTTTTACAGCAGCTTTAATGATGCGATTAATTTCACTCTAGTTTACTGATTCTTGACCATTCATTTTTAATGCAGTGTCTCGAGAAGCCCTTGTTTTCCAGCTTCCCACAATGAAATTATGGTCAAATAAAAAAGAAAAGTGGTCAAATAAACTATTATCAATTCATTAAAGATTCAATAATTAGAGAAAGTCAAGCTTAATGTCATATGATTTCTATGTTGTATGTCATCGAGCTGATGACATTATTTATTGAACGCCCCTCGTATTATCTTATATTGTACATCAGCAGGTGGGCCAGTGTGTCACCTTATATTGTACATCAGAAGGGGGATCAGAGGTCATCTTATATTGCACATCAGTAGGGGAACCAGAGGTCATTTTATATTGTACATCAGTAGGGGTTCCAGAGGACATCTTATATTGTACCAGGGCACCTTATATTGCACATTTCATCAGTAGGCGAACTAGAGATTATCTGATATTGTACATCAGTAGTGGGACCGATGGGCACCTTATATTGCACTTTACATTAGAAGGTGAACCAGAGGTTATCTTATACTAGTATTATACATCAGTAGGGCGGCCAGTGGTCATCTTATATTGTACATCAGTAGGGCGACCCACTGCTTGAAAAAAACGCCTTTACAAAACTTTACTTGCGAAGTAAATTTTATTAAAGGTGCTCCAAAAAGCAAGGCCATCTTTGTATTCACTTTACAAAGGTGAAAAGGTAACCTTTACTTACAAGGAAAGATAATTAAATATAACCTTTCACCTTTAATGCCATATTAATGTTCATTAAATATACATATTTTATAAAAGTCTTATTTAAATGCTGACAATTGTTTAATACACTTATTCTTTGGATTTTCACAGTTAGTTTAAAGAATCTAATCTAATCAGTACCTAGAATTTTAAGACAAATGGCAAATATTTTTTTAATTATCTTGTATCCGTTTCCAATTGAAATTAGTATTAGAAATGGTCATCTACAGAATCAAACACTCGACTTATCTTTTTTTGACAGACTACACCTCAAATAATACAACACCTATGCTGTAAGCCAGGTTAGCTTAGTTGGAGCAGCTGGCGTTTATTTTGATACATGTCACAATACATAAATATTTAACATACATTACATTGAATGTGAAACAATAAAGCACTGCAATGTATTTGTAAAATATTTTACATGTAATAAATTGTACACCTATCACTGACATTAAAAACCGCCCAGGCAAAAACCATAGATGATTAACTATGGAAAACCTGTGTCCGTCGCTATGTAGTTAATGTCTCAAAGGAGAATGCCGGACATGCATTCGGTGCAATAGTTAAAAATGCACGCACATCCTATAATATTTGCATGTATGAAAAAATCCAAATTACAATACATTTCAACAGTTTTGTTATTTCCATTACCAGTATATTTATACAAATATGATATTTATAAAGCAAAAAAAAGTATGTGTGTATTGAAGAGCACTGGCTTAGAATGATATGAACATACTACCGAATACTCATTTCTCATTGGCTTTCCTTTGGCCACGCCCACATATACAACCAAAACCATTAATATACATTCCTCGCATACAATGCGTTCCCTCTATACTGCAAAACACAGGAAAAAAATATTATCTGCACCAGGATTGCGTACAACTCCTCTGAATTGGATGGTGTAGATCTTTAACATGTACATTGATATTAATGATAGAGTCATTAATAATATAACAATGGGAAAAATTGGCAATTTTTTTGGCAAATTGATCATTTTCACTTTCAAAGCAAAAATAATCTAAAATATTCTGTATTTTTGCTTCTCATCAGTTGATGAGTCAGATATACAGCACAAACAATATCCAGTTATAACCTTGAATATATACATTATATTGATCTTTGACTTTTGTTTCCCTTTAAACATTTAGATACAGTTGAGAAAAAAAAAACAGAGAACAAGTATAAATTTCACATTTCTGCTTTTGTAATGGAGATCCCATTTCACTTTAAAATATAATACCGGTACATTATTTATCCTTATTGGTGCATGTACATAATTATATAAAATAAACTTTGCAGTTTAAATTGAATTAAAAATGTGGAAAAAATTGCATGAAAGGTTGTTTGATTTGCGCTTATATACAGGCTAATAACATCTTCAACTTGAAATACAAAATGATGCATTTTACAAATTCACAAACATAAAATATGGTGAAAAATCTATTAGAATAGATGCAAGGATGCAGTTTGCAAAATGCATGAGATCATGTACGAGTCCAGCTTGACCCAGTGAGCCTGTCTGTGCTTGATTTAGTTTACATTATCTTTTTATGTCTGTGGTAAATGTTAGTGTGTTTGCATATGTGTCCAGCTTCACACATTTTCATGTTTGTGCTCGACTTCACACGCCGTGGAAAATATGTAATAGGTTGTGGTAGATGCTTGTTTGTTTGCATATGTGTCCAGCTTCACACATTTACATGTATGTGCTAGACTTCAGACGCCTTGGAAAATATGTAATAGGTTGTGGCAGATGCATGTGTATTTGTGTATGTGTCCGGCTTCACACATTTTCATGTATGTGCTCGACTTCACACACCTTGGAAAATATGTAATAGGTTATGGTAGATGCATGTTTGTATATGTATCCAGCTGTAATCATTTCCATGTGTGTGCTCGATTCATACGTCATAAATGTAAAATATGTAACCATGGTGGTGTAAAACGGTTACAATTATATGATGCACAAAGAGAAAAAAAAGTTCTGTGTGTTTTGTTCTATAAATCTGCATTTAAATAAACTACAATTAGGTCCTGTTGAAAAACTGACAATCATAATAAGTAACATATTCATTTTACATAACTGTACTGAAAATTACACATCCAGTTTAAATTACTGTACTGAAAATTGAATTTGTGCAAAAACTCTCTGGCTTAATAACATTCAAAACCAGGAACGCTTGCATGTTCATCTATAAATCTCCAAGATATTTCCTAGTTAGTTTGTAGCGCCGCACCGGGCGGTCTTACAACACATTTCATAATCTCAGTTTGCATGAATAAATCAATTTATCCTTGTTCTTCATATCTTGAAAATAGATGCCGAAATTCTAGTCTACAGTTTTTTTTACACAGCACATCACAAATAGAAACATTCAGGAAGTAATGAAGAGTTATATAACAGATAAGATATTCTAAATCGCTACAAGTTTACAAATTCTTGATCATATCATTGATAACAGTACATTTTCTTGATCATGACATCTGTATTGGATTCCCCTCTCTGACATCTTTTCTTGTTCACCGATTAGTTCAACAGTCATCTGGGTACTCAGGCGTTGTACAAGTCCTAATAATAATCATTTTCAAAATTATAAAGAAAAGCAATACAATTTTAAATAGGTTTTCATTACTTCTATTGAAATTAAAGCACAAGCTTTTGAAGACATACTTAAGTAACTTAAAACATGTATAAGTAAACATAATGGAAATTTAGACAAAGCGACTCAATGTCAAACATATGATAGTGATACATCTGTAATATCCATGAAATTTACTGAGATACTTAAAATGTTTGTGGTGTGCTTTCACTAAGCTTAGCAATGTATAAACATTTCTTGAATACACGTTGAAGTCCAATCCTCACCTGACATATGGATTGGTTCTATGTTGATAATCTCTTTCAACAATCTTCATCACAACATCTGAAAGTCATCCATCTTCCAAATTAAATCTGACGCTCACCTCTCAAGTGTATATAGACTCCCTGTACAAATGCATGGAAAATAAAATTTTAGATAAAAAATGAATTATCTCTTCACCATACCTGGCCTCTTTAATTCTTCATTCAAGTAACATGTAAACTCTTCTCGAATGTAAAACGAAAGATCTACTCTGAACAGTAACCCAGATATGGCACTGTGTATTCGGTTGAATAGCCAATGATTTCAAATCAAGTTGAGCGGGTCTACATCGTTATTTTGACGAAATTTTAAACCAGTGGTTATTTTGCTACACTTCATGTAGATATGAAAGAATGAAACTATTAAATCAAAGTCACGCAAAACGACACTTTGTATGTTATTTACTGCCAGTATATTAGATAAGTATTTTTGATAATTTGGGGATTAAATGTTTATGTGCGTCACTTTATTTTGTAAAGGTGTATGAATCATAGGGGCTTGTCTTCAGGATTGATTAATGTAAAATAATTTTTGCCTGATCATGTCAGAATCTTTATTAAAGCAACTTTAAGAGTGTATTTAATGCAGATACAAATTAAAAAAAAAATTACATTTATCAATCCGGAAGACAAGCCCCTATGGTATGAATTAAGGTCATACGCAACGTAGTTTGAACTTTATTGGGTTCTTCCCTGGAGTTGAAGAGTTCCACTAAATGAAGGACTTGTGTGCAATACTTTTAATATCTATATATGGATTTGTACACCTCTCCTAAAACAATTTTCGATGAAAAAAAAATCTGGAGTATATGTTTTGTAATTTTCGTACAATGAATTTTTTTTTCAAAATTTGATATCTTTTCAAAACCCCTGGTAAGGCATGCTCATTTTTTGTATAAGAACATGCAATGCTATTATAAGTTTAAATTTAAAATATCTTGAAAAATTATCAGTAGTTAAGGTACGTCGCTTACGTCTTTAATCAAGACAAAGAAAAACATATTCTGGAGCGGGACTCAAATGGGTAATAAAAACCGAGTCATGCTGGGAATTTGAAAATGAAAACCGGGTTTTTGCTTATTACTGAGAATTTACACATTCAGTTGTCATAAAACTTAGTTACAGATGTAATTATGCCTTGCCTGAGAGTTTCAACTCCAAAATTGACAAATAAGTTTGTTTTATTTATATCATTTTGTATTTTAAACTGTGTTCATTTTCTTAAAACACAGGTATAGTAAATTCAGTATGCAGATTGTTGAAGGGAAAACATCAAGACAAGGCGAGGAAGACGACAAAAGATGATTACCCAGATTGAGGATCCCAGTGTTCTTTGGTACAGGCACATTTTAATAATAAAGAATGAGTGCACTTAAGCTATGAGAGTTGGATCCCGATGTTTTGCGTAAAATAAAATTCCAAAATTCATTAAATTTATGTTTTATAGGTATTAAACAATGTCTTTAGAGCAGGTTTTGGTATATTATTTTACATGAAAGTATTAAATAATGCCGAACGACAAAAGCTTTTGAGACGGGGGTCTAACAGTTTTGTCTCATTTCTATTGTTATTCATATGTATACCAGTTTTCAACGACTTTGTTTATATCGAGCCGCAACTTGGCCATTTTTCTTATTTGCACAGAATATGTATTTTAACTTAAAATTATACATATCCAAAGGACAATGTTGGCCAAGTTGCGGCTCATATCTAATTTTCAAAAAAATGTCCCCAAACTAGGGTCGAGATAGCTACTAAATTAACCGGTCACTGAGCAACAACGATTGATATTATAATCACATTTCTCACGTGACCTTCTGCTGTTCGATACGTTAACGCTTTCATTGAAAAATTCATTGTGTTTAAGTCTCTGTTGTGACAGTATCTATCGTACTTCCAACTTCAAACTTTGGGAGATTTTTGCGCAAATTTTAATAGGGTTTGAAGATAATATGTCTCTTATTTATCTTTATCCTTTTCATTAGGGATGTTTTGAAAGAATTCTGGTATTGACAGTGTCATTAGTAAGTACATGTATAGGATTATGTCGCCTCTGTATTATGGTCTGCACAGCGAGACATTTACCCCATCCCTTAACATAAGAATCATTTAATAATTGTGCACCATGAAATCAACACGATCTCTCTCTCTTCTCCATTTCAATTCGCAATGCGAAAAATACATATGTGCTAATGTTTACATTCCACAACCATGCGGTTTAAATGTCTCCGCCTATTTGCGGATACCTTAGATTCGAAAGTGGTCCCGTTCAAATTTCCGGAATTTAAGGCTTTTACATTTTCTGTAATTATAGAAATATGTATGACAAAAAATTCTAGAAAATAAATATCAAGAGCATATGCTTGCACATTAATCATAGATTAATTTTGCGATATATTGTAATATTAAGCTTAAAATTAATGGGTAGCCGAAAAGGTTCCAAATGACGTACTTAAGTGCACTCATTCTTTCATGAAATCTGTTACTTGAACAAAAATTTACATTATTTAGTGCTTGACTTGCTCGGGAGTCAATATCGTCATATATTTGTAAAAAAAATGTTCAATTTCCTTTGTATAGTCTCAAGCTACTCAGCCTACGAGGAGAAAATTAAAAGATCTGTCATGAAGAAGAGGCGGGTTCTCAACTTTCATATTATAAATGGCAAGTATTGTTTAGAACTAATTTTAGATTATTCTTGATAAAAAAAAAAAACAACATAAGGGTGTTTGTCAATTCATAGCTATTATTTGTGATTGCATTGTGTATTAATTTTCAAAATCAATTCATTATTTGGTGAACAAGTGCAGCGGTTTGCTTCAAATTTATATTTTTTTTTTTATAAAAATATGGACTATATTTGTTCATATGTGTAAAATGTTAATCATGGTATGAATTCTTTTTCAGCATGATTGTCATCTTCATTTTTATAGGTTCTCACCTAAAGTCATTTTACTGTTCCATATCAGGAAAAAGTTCATGAGCTGAAACATGCGATTGGGGAAAAAGGTACATATATCCTAAACCATAACTTGAATATCATTCTGTATACATGTACAGCTAAACTAAATATGTAGCACTATATTGTTCTCTTTGTTAACTGACAACTGAGTAGTCAGGAAACCTATGATTTCTCAATATTTCAGGAATTTTTTCTTTGTTTTTGTATAGTACCCTTAAAAAAATACATATTTCTGAAATTGTAATTTATAGGCTTTTTGTGATAAGGGATACATGACCTAACCCATTGATTCTTCATATAATATGTCAATAACAAGAGTTCCACTCATCCTATTAGATTGATTAATTTACATATTTTTGCTTTTTGAGGTTAAAGGTCATGTATGAACTTTTTATTTATTAATTAGGTTGTGCCTTGTTTTTATTTTTATTAATCATGGTATTGTGAATTCTGATAACACAGACACCTTTGAAAATATTCATACTTATTCATGGCACTGAAAAAATACTTATAGTTTTTTTTTTCTTTTAGGAAAAGCATTAGGAAAATGCCTGAATGAGGAGAAAAGTTTTGGACTCTGAAAAGGGAGGTGTGACAAAAACATTTTGACAGTCGTTGATTTCCACTAAAACCAATATCCACAAGAAAGAGGACATAGTTTTATGTTGATTCACTACTTTAAATTCAAGAATGTACAGTTGGTTTTATTATAAAACATGTCACATACAAAAAACATATTTGTGAAATGTACTCTGTCTTTGTTATGTATGTAATTTGCAGGATGTGGGCAACATATACTGCCAAGAATCTTGATGATATTGATCTTATGTTTGTAAAAAAAATGTTTTTTATTGTAATAAACAATGTTAAAGTCAGCTTTTTGTTAATTTGTATATTAATTATGATGTTTACATTTCCGCAACTTATCAATTTGGAAGAAAAAAACTTATTTATAATTTGAAAAAGGCTTCATTCACTGGAATGGAAAACAGAAATTATTAACTTTTGTGGTTATTAAAGATGGTATTTAATTAAATTTAAGGTTTGTAATTATCAGATTGTGGTTATTAAAGATGGTATTTAATTAAATTTAAGGTATGTAATTATCAGATTTAATATATCCTAAAAACGGTGTTTAATGGTTGTAAATATTAACTTTACTTTTTTGTAAAGTCAAGATAAAGTGGGACATTACATCATATTTAAGTGCATCTAAAGTTAATGTAAATGTTACCTTTTCCAACTTTGAATTTTTTCAGAAAAGCCAATTAAAGGCATTGTAAATAATTTACATTATCTTTACTTGTTTTGTAAAGCCAAATTTTCACGCAGTGACCGGAGGTCACCATATTTTGTACATCAGTAGGAGAACTGAGGTCACCAAATATTGCACTTCACAATGGAGGGACCAGAGGAACCTGATATAGTACATCAGTAGTGGGACTAGAGGTTATCTTATATTGTACATCAGTAGGGGGACCAGAGGTCACCTTATATTGTACATCAGTAGGGGAACAGAGCCTTCAGGTCAGTTTTATGTTCGGCACTAGAAGGATCAACTAGTAACCGGCAAACTAAATATTGTAAATTAATTATGTACATCAATAGGTTGATCAAAGTTCACCTTTTATTTTATTTTATTATGGAGACTTAAGGTCACCTTTATATTGTACAGCAGAAAGGGGACCAGAGGTTGCCTTATGCTGTACAAGACCAGACGTCAGATTATATTGTACATCAAAAGGGGAAACAGAGGTACGTCTTCTTATACATCGATAGGGGCTCAGAGGTCACTCTGTGTTGTAAATCATTATGGGGACCTAAGGTCACTTTATATTTTATAACACAAAGGGGACCAGAAGTCACCTTGTATTGTACATAAATATCACACCAGTGGTCTCCTTTCCTGTACATTTTCAAGAAAACCAGAAATAAAATAAAATATATATGAATACAGAGATAAGGCATCAACGATTCTTCACCCGTCATAACCAAATATAAAAAGAAAATGAGGGCGGACCGGAGGTTACAGATAAAATGCATAATAACGGGATACGAGAGGTTCTCTTATAAGAACACGACAAGAGGCTTATGGATCTTAGAGGTCATCTGAACATCATGCAAAACTTTAAAACAATTTAACTGGGTTTGCGCTTTGAACCAGAGGCCATGACATTCGCAATTTTGAAAAACAAAGCACCATTGCTCATCATAACTATATACTTAGCATGCTTAGTTGTGCTACTTAATACCTATACAGAGAGAAGGGGAACAAAAAGTGCATTTCAAATAATCAGTGATAATCAGCAATAATAAGTAGCACTTGCCCATTGATCACAAAAACCCTCATCCTGCAGTCATACATTTCACAATTTTGGAAAAGGCACACTTGCTCATAAAAAAATTGATTTATACCAAAAAACAAATTTCAATGCATTAATTCAATTACAGTATTTAGTTAGAGCCCCCAACCCTCAATGGTACCCTTTAGCCAGGGTTCTTGAATTTTATAATTCTGGAAGAGGCTCCCTTGCTTATCATAACTATATTTAATTAGTTTAATTTATACCAAGGAGCAGAGAGGATGATCTTTTAAAAGAATTACTGAATTTTAAATTTACAATATACAAAGCCCTACCGTAACACCATAACCCCTGACCTTTGGGTCACGAATTTCGATACTTTGGAGAGAATATTCTTCCTCATCATATCGAAGCATGTAGTTAGTTTGTTTAATATCCAGGGGCTGAGGGAAATATTTTCAAAGAATAATTGCATTTCACGATATAAATTTTTATAGCCCTGTCCTAATACCAGGGCCCCTGAACCTGGGACAATGAATTTCGCAATTTTGGAAGAGGAGTCAATGCTTATAATAATTATACCAACAGTTAGACGGCTTAATGTCAATGAGTAAAGAATATTGTTAAAGATTTCATCAATTGTAGCAGTTTCGCTCCAACTTTCTCGCCTTAGGGGGTGAAGGGCAGGGGGCATGATTTAAAAAATCTCCCCTTCACCCATAGATGCTTTATGCCAACATTGGTTGTAAATAGCAGGGAAAGGGCTGAAAATGTTCGAATGCTAACGAACAATGCACAGCGCACGACACCAGAAAAAAAAACAGAGAGCAATAAGTCACATGAGTTGATTCAGGTGACCATATAAGGAGTTCTTTGGTCTCAATATTTATGTAAAATATAAGTTCTCTTCTGTTCTCCCCGTTGACTTACAATATAAGATGACCTCTGGTCTTCTTATTGATGTAAATATAAAGTGTCTTCAGCTGGTTTCTTCATTGTCGTTCAAAATAGTGTTATCATTAGTTTTAATGATGTACAATACAAGCTGACCTATTGTCCCTCTACTGTTGTACAAAATACGAGGGCTGTTCAATAAATAATGTCATAAACTCTATGACATACAATACAGATATCATACGGCATTAAGCTTGACTTTCTCTCATTATTGAATATTTTATGAATTTATAACAGTTTATATGACCACTTTTCATCACATACTTTCATTGTGAGAAGCTGGAAAACAAGGTATTCGAGACACTGCATTAAAAATGATTGGTAAAGAATCAGTAAACTAGAATGAAATTAAACCATTCATCAGAGCTTGTGTAAAACTTGTTAAGAATCCCAAAGAAATACTCACTAAAATATGTAAAATTTAAAACAATCAATGTCTGTTTTATAGTTTATAGACAATTGAGTAGGTAGATTTCAATAATAAAAAAAAATATATAATGGAATAAAAAAAAAATGGATACCGTCCTTGCAAACAAAAAATTAAACAACTAATGTACTGTTTACCAAATTGTTAAAATAATCACTGATGATGTATGATTGACTATACGACACAAAGCAAATTTGATAGACATCATTGCGGGAGTACTTGACACTGTTTTAAAGAAAAGTGTGACAGTAAAAAAAAGCTTAGTACTCAAAAGTCACCCTATTTTTAAAAATAAAAATGAGTGAAAATGACTGCGTGTAAGAATATCTAAACAATTATTAAAGATATCAGTAATTGTAGTTAACTGCAGTTATCCACTTTTGTTGAATTTCAAACAGATAACGAAACTTCAATCTATTACTTAAAACCCTCAAAACAAAATTTACAATAAGTTGTACTTGACAAAAACAGCAAAGGTCTGAGAAGAGCAGAGAATTGCAAGAGCATAAATACAGATTTACGAGGGCTGTTTGGAAATTATTGAGACATTGTGTATATTTTGCTTTCTAATGAACGCCTTTCGGTGAAAATTTGCATAAACGTTTGACATACACTAAACATTAATATGAGCAAAAAATATTTTACAAATATTAAATATTTTCTATACAATGGTATATAAATGTGTCCATAGTACGGGTATCCGGAGCAGTCGCGGAATCAGATATTGAAAATATGAACACCAAAATTCTAACTCTTCATGGATCCATAATGACAGCGAAAATAATTCAGTTTAAGTGTATAATTTCCAGCTTTGCTTCAAATGCATGTTGTGCAACTTTGATAGAATTTTGATCAGAAATACGGAGATCATAAAAAAATTAAGCGCGGTCGAGAAATCTGCTAACGACGACAAAATAGATTTTGACGTCAAGGGCGGAGAAACCAGCATACCTAAAATTTTGTGTAGCGCAATGTAGAATTCTTTTCAAGACTGAA